CCCCCAGGGCCCAGACCTCCTTCCCAACTCACACCCCTGAGCATACCACCCCCCAGGCCCACACTTCCTTCCCAGTCCATGCCCCTGAGCACACCACCCCTAGGGCCCACGCCGCCTCCTTAGCCCATGCCTCTGAACACAACATCCCCCAGGCCCAGACCTCCTTCCCAGCCCACAGCCCTGACCACACCACCCCTGGGGCCCACTCCTCCTCCCTAGCCCACGCCCCTGACCACACCCCCCAGGTCCAGACCTCCTTTCCAACTCACACCCCTGAGCACACCACCCCCCAGGCTCAAACTTCCTCCTCAGCCCATGCCCCGGAGCACGCCACCCCCCAGGCCCACACCTGCTCCCCAGCTCACACCCTTGAGTATAACCTGCCTCAGGCCCAGATCCATTCCCCAGCCCAAGCCCCCGAGTACCACTTCCTTCAGGCCCATACCTACTCCGTAGCCCTCACCCCTGAGCACATCACTCCCCAAGCCCATGCTGCTGAACACACCCCGGCCCTGGTCCATGGCCCCGAGCACACCGCAGTCCAGGCCCATACCTACCCCCCAGGCTTTACCCCTGAGCACACTCAGCCCACTCCTGCCCAGGCCCAGAACCCTGAGCAACCCCCAGCCCATCCCCTGGGTCACACCCCTGAGCGCGTAATAGCCCACGGCCCAGCCGGCACTCCAGCCCATGATCCTCTAACCCACACCCATGCACCTCACCCCTTGGTGACCTCTCCCGCCTCTGCCCCAGCCCCTCCCCCAACTACCCTTGTCCCAGCCCCTCCTCCAGCCCCTGGCCCAATCTCTGTCCCAGCGCCTGGCCCAGCTCTGGTCATGACCCTGACGACCACTCCTGTCCCCACTCCGGTCTCTGTCACCACCTGTACCCCTATCCTAACTCCTATTCCTTCTACCCTGACTGCCTTTGGCCAAGACCTCTCCACTGGCCACGTGGTCTACGATGCCCGCAGGGTGAAGCAGAGCGTGCACCATATGTGCCCCCCTCCACCCTCTGGGTATTCCAGAAAGGATGTGGGCACCCTCTGCAGGCCCCAAGAGGGGCAGGGTCTGGACAGCTCTGGTACAGTGGAGCCAACAACGAAGCAACCCAACAGGGACAGTGCCAAGCCCTCCACAGGCTCCATCCTGGGCTACCTGGAGTTGGGGAATGTGGAATGGAAGATCTCGAATGATGCCAAAGACAAGTTCTTACAGCCCAAGACCTTCCCTTATTTCAGCTTCCATCCCTGCAGTTCGGAGAGGAGACGCAAAGATTCTCAGACTCCGGTCTACCCCAAATTCCTTGTCTACTCCAAGGAGGCCACACCTTCTCAGTGTTGCTTTCATTCTCCGACCACTACCCAGAGCTCAGTGAGCACCACCCCTCCCCCATGCACTCTTTCTCTGCCTCTTATGTCCCCCAGATCCTTTGTCCCTCATCAAGCCTCCAACCACCAGCAGCTCTCTGCCTCAGTGCGACCCCCAACCTTTCCCCCAACCTCCAAATCTTCTCAGTCCGTCTCCTCTTCCCAGTTCCCCATCCCTCCGCACTTCTCCAAGACTTTCCAACCCCCAATTCCACCCCAGCCCCCTAAACTTCAGGGGAGTCTGGGCCTCAACCAAGATTCTGGCCTCCAAAGGACTTCAAGCCTTTCAAAGGACTTGAGAGTTCCCAGGAACCCAGGCCTTGCTGAAGATCCAGGCCTAAACAAGCCCCCAGGCCCTACTCTAGACCCTTCTCTCTGCAAGAGTCCGAGCCCTTCTCAAGATTCTGGACTTCACAAGAATCTGGTCATTACCCAAGATTCTGGCCCCCAAAAGAGCCTAGATCCTACTCAAAATGCAGGTATCTTTAGAAGCCCATGTCTCACCCAACCTTGTAACCTCCACAAGGACATACCATTTCCCCAAACTTCCAACACTCAGAGGAGTTCAGGCTTTATGCAAAACTCTGGCGTCTATAGGAATCTAGAACAAAACCAAGAGACTATACACCATAAAAGGCAAGATCTCTCCCAGACAACAGGCCTCTGTAATAGTGCGGGACCCTCTCAAGATTCTGGAATTTACAAGAGCACAGGTCATGCTCGTGAGCTGGAAGTCTCCAGGAGTCTAGGCCTTCCCCAAGATCCTTGCCCACAGAAGAGCCCATACCAAGACTCTGAAGTCAACAGGTGCTCAGGCTTGATCCAAACCTCTGGTCTCCATAAGAGCTCAGGACTTACCCAAGACTCCGGAGACTACAAGAATCCAGGCCTGACACAAGCCATTGAAGTCGAAAGGAGATGTGGCCGGACACAAGACGTTGGAATTTACAGGAGCCAAGAATATAACCAAGACCCTAACTTCCACCAGTACCCAGGAATTAATCAAGATCCTGGCCCCCATAAGGGCCCAGCCTTTACGCAAGACCATGTCCTCCCCAAGACTCAAAGCCTTATTAGAGAATCCAGCCTCCACAAGGATTCACCCCTTAGCTCACATCCCAACCACCCCAAGAACCCAGGCCTTGCTCTAAGCACCGACTCAGAACAAGTCTTGGGCCTGCCTCAGACCCCAAAGTCCTCACTGTGCCCAAAGTTATGTGCATCTGAGCAGGCTCCCCAGAAGGAGGACCCACAACAGCGCCTTCCGTGGCTGCCTGTCCCACCTAGTCAGAACTCCAGCTCGCCCAAGCCCCCGGCGGTGATCTACAATGACCTGCAAACCTTCTCAGAGGTCCCTTTGCTAATTGAGCTGCAGCCATCCTCCCGGCGAGCCGGTGGCCAAGACTGGGCGTACCGTCCCGTGGATCCGGTGCCTTCAGCCTCCCAGAGCTATCGCCAGATGTCTATGCCTCCCAAAGTCAACTGGAAGCCCTACTGCCCTGGGTCAGGCACCCGGGTCGGGCATGTGGTCTTCGATGCCCGCCAGAGACAGTTTGGGGTGGGCAGGGACAAGTGTGAAGCTCTGTCTCCCAGACGCAGTCGCCAAGAGGCGTGCAGCAACCCCCCGGAGACCACCAAGGAGTGGGGATATCAGAGTGTGATGAGAACCTTGGAGAAAGAGGGGGCAAAGGTGCATCAGGAATAAAGAGGCGAGAGAATGATTGTGTGGTTGTTTGGGGACATCCTGCCCTAGCCCTGTTCCTGATGCTGTGGCCCCCCCCACGGGGCCGGATGAGGGCTGCTACTCTATCCCTGCCCCTATTTCTCCTGCATCCCTGTGTGGCGGAACCCCCGATCCCCAAGGCCCAGAGCTGCCTCGTCCAATACAGTGGCCATGAGCCAAATATGGCTGTTAAAACGTAAATTAATTAAAATTAAAATTTAGGGGCGCCTGGCTGGCTCAGTCGGTAGAACACGTGACTCTCGATCTCAGGGTTGGGAGTTCAAGCCCCACGTTGGGCATGCACGGAGCCTACTTAAAAAAAAAAAAAAAAATTAAAATTCCGTTCCTCAGTCTCATTACCTACATTTAAGTGCCCGGTAGCCATGTGTGGCTACTGTATTGGATGGCACAGATTTAGAACCTTTCCACTGTCACAGAAAAACCTATCGGACAGCAATGCTTTACAGTTTACAGAAACTTTCCTTTCCCTTGTCACTCAAACCCAGCATCTTCAAAGCTTGCACAGAACCCAGAGAACTTAGTCGTTTTCAGTGTGACTGAGAGGCCACCCTCTGGGGAGGAGGGAAGGAGTAGAGACACCCTATACCCGATTGCCCCCCAGACTGTGAGAAAGAGCCTAGCCTTCAGTCTTCCCCCCAACCAGGTATATGGAAACCCGCCTCCCCCGTTCTGGGCTGTGTTTTGGGCCTCAAGGTTGCTGAGGGCGAAGAGATTTGTCAGGGACTCGGAACCCCTGAGATCGGGGCTTCCGAAATCAAGCTCGATTCTGAGAGTCCCCTCCTACGCAGCTCTTTGCTGTGGACGTGGGCCGACCTCACCTCGGACATAGTCCTTCCAGGGAGGGGTGCAAAGGGAATGTCAGAAGTCCTGGTCTGGTGGTGGACTGGTCTGGTCTGCGGGCCTGTCCCTGGTTCCCTGTGGTTCTGTCTTCTCATTCTGGGTCCCAGACTCATCCTGGGCTAGAGCTGTATCTCTGGTGGCCGTGGTCACTGAAGGTGATTTCCTCCTGAGAGCGTTCCACTGCCCTGCCCCAGCCCGGGTGGGATTTTCCTCCGGACTTGATTTTCAGTCCTGATAACACTTCTGTGTGGGCGCATGAGCTGGCCGACCCCGAGGTGTGTTCCCCGCCAGCACTCATGGGTCCGAGGTGGGCATCACCAATACCTATGTCCCTTCCCTGAGCCAGATGTTTTTTCCTGGGTCACCACCTGTGTGTGCTTGCCTGACACTGACCCGGAAGGGATGCCTTGGCACCCAGCTGGGAGCCCCTCTCCAACACCTCTCTGGCCGCACCCTACCATCTCGTCTCTCAAATGAAGTTATGATTGCGTGGACGACCCCTCCTAGATCTAAGCGACCCGGACTCCTCTACTTCCACAAGAGATGCGGAGGCCCCTGTTGCCCCCCAGACCCCTAGGGTATGTCCCCCTTTATTATTTGCTCTTCGGAGCCATCCTGTTCCAACCCCACGGAGTGTTCGCGTGGGCCTGACCTGGGCTTGAAAGTCACAGGAGTTGATCTCCACAGAAACTACAACTTCCATCAGGCGCTACTTCAGCGGAACAGGAAAGGATGCAGGGGCGTGGCCTCAGCTCCCCGGCAGCTCGGGAGACAAACTACAACCCCCAGCACAGCGCGAGAGCTCAGCAGCGCGGAGCGCGACTGATCTCCGGCAGGAGGCGGGGCCGGGCCGGAACTGCCCGGACGGCCTCCAGAAGGGGGCGTGGCCCCAGCTTGGGGGCGTGGCCTCGGGCTCCAGGAAGAAGCTACCTGTTGAATCTTTCTGTCCGCGGCCTGCCCACCCCTTGCAGTTATCCCTAAGAGGGCAGCCGCAGACCACAAGCGGTTTCCGAAAGAGAGGTAAGGGGAGGCGGGCCAGGGGCGGCGGCGGCGACTATAAATATCCCGTCGGAGGGCCCAACAGCTACCTTTTACCTGCTGAGTCAGGTGAGCCGTTCCATGGGGGCGGGGACCAGCATTTGAGAAAAGGGCAACGGCGTTGGAGGTATTTATTTGTTCGGTTTCAAGACTAAATTTAGAGCCCTTCAGCTACAGACCTTTTGACGAATTGTGCCTGGGGCACTCCGGCGGCCTCGGGAGGAGAGAAGAACGCGGGCGACTTTTTGGCCGCAAAGGAGCGGCCCATCTAAGCGTCCTCCCGTCCGTGTTTTCCTTCGCCCCAAACGGCTGAGCCACATGGCTTCGGCGGTCTGGGGGAGTGCCCCCTGGTGGGGCCCGCCGCCCCCAGCCCCAGCCCGGCCGCTCACCGACATCGACTTCTGCTCCGGGGCGCAGCTGCAGGAACTAACGCAGCTGATCCAGGAGCTAGGTGTGCAGGAGAGCTGGAGTGACGCGCCCAAGCCGGGACCCGACCTCCTCCGGGCCAAGGACTTCGTCTTCTCGTTGCTGGGTAAGTCACTCTCCCCGCCTCCGGCCACTAGCAGCCTTGAGCCCCGCTCCACCCCGCCCGGGCTTTGGGCCGTGCCCTCCCGAACCCGTCTCTTCCCGTAGGTCTCATTCACCGTCGGGACCCCCGGTTTCCTCCCCAAGCAGAGCTCTTGCTGCTTCGTGGTGGGATTCGCGAGGGCTCCCTGGATCTGGGACCTGCACCCCTAGGTCCTTACATCCGGGGACCTCATTACGACGCCGGCTTTACACTCCTAGTGCCCGTGTTTTCGCTAGACGGCACTGGGCAGGAGCTCCAACTGGATGCGGAGTCCTGTTCCGCGTGGCTGTGCCTCCCAGAGCAGGTCCGCGGAACCTCGATCCGGGAGGCTTGGCGGGATTGCCTAGGACCTCCAGTCCCAGGAGGACGTGACTCCATCCGCCAAACCGAAAGTGAAGGAGGTCCCGAGGGCCCCCAAACATCCATGGACCAGCACGGTTATGTCACTGAACCTGAGCCAAACGTGTCTTTGGGAAAACCCTCTAGTAACGTTTCCAGGCCCAAGCCGCCTGAGCAAGACAGAATCGATCACGGCTTTTCCACCCCACTGAAAAACCTGAATGGTGACGTCAGGAAAGCAGCCGTCCTCAGCCCAGTCCCACCGCCGTTGGAGGACTGGGAGGCTTGGCCCACACTTTGCCCCATCCAGGTGGCTACGTGGTTCTTTGCTTCACTGGCCGCGGTGGCTGAGTCCCTGTTCCCGGTCCCGGGTGCCCCACGCTTGGTCCACGCCGCTCGCCACGCGGGATTCACCACCGTCCTCCTGGCCACGCCGGGGCCGCCGCGCCGCGTCCTGCTCTTCGACCTGATTCCCGTGGTGTCTGTGGCCGGCTGGCCCGAGGGTGCTCGGAGCCACTCGTGGGCTGGCCCGCTGGCCCCCGAGTCGTCATCCTTCTACTTGGTGCCCGGCGGCCACACCGAGGGGCCGGGCGCCTCCGGCTGGCAGCTCTGCTTCGCCCGCCAGGAGCTGGCGCTCAAGGCGCGCATACCCGCTCCGCTGCTGCAAGCGCACGCCGCGGCCCAGGCGCTGCTGCGCCCGCTGGTGGCCGGGACCCGGGCCGCGGCGCCCTACCTCCTGCGGACGCTGCTCTACTGGGCGTGCGAGCGGCTGCCCGCGCTCTATCTCGCGCGGCCCGAGAACGCGGGCTCCTGCTGCCTCGGGCTGCTGGATGAACTGGGCCGCGTGCTCGAGGCCGGGACGCTGCCCCACTATTTTCTGAGCGGCCAGAAGCTCCGCGCGGGGGATGGCGCGGCTGCGCTGCTCGGGGCGTTGGCCCGGCTCCGCGGGGACCCAGCCCAGGCCCTGCGCGCCGCGGTGGAGGAGGCGAAGGCTGCACGCAAGGGGGGCGGCTTAGCTGGCGTGGGAGGCGGGGCCCATTAAAGACGCTGTTCCTACCCGCGTGGAAAGGTGCTTCTGTTGGCCAGGGGGATGTGGCGGAGGCTGCTAGCCCATCGCCGAGGAGACACACTTGAGCGTCCTGGGTCGGAAGAGCACCGCCGAGAAGGCCTCGCGGATTCCTCCCCATCTTCCTGCCCTGTCCCTGGCACCGGTCGTCCCATTTCTGGCCCCTTTACTCCCCAGATCTGTGGCCAGCACCCCTCCCGGCTCGGCGCATCCTCCGGCCACCATCTTCCCAATTTTTATGGTCTTTTGGGAGTCAGTAGGGAAGGAGTGGGGGTGCATTTTTGCTGACAAAACGCAGCAGGAAGGTGTGGAGACCAGGGACTGACCAGTTTGGCTCGCACAAAATCGGAGAGATTAAGAAGGCAGGCCAGGTTGCACCCCGGGTTGGATGTCACCACCGCCCCTCCCCTCTGCAGTTAGACCCCACTTTCCTCATTCAGTTCTGCCCTCCCAGGCCGGGCAGTAGGGTCCCTTTTTCCACTCTCCCAGCGTCCGCCATTCCATCCATCTTAACCTCAACCTCTCCTCCCATCCAGGGTTCCGTTCAGTGCAGTCACCTCCTTGTCTCTCCTCCTCTGAACCCCAAGACGTGCGGCCTTGCCTCGGCTCCGCCTGCCTCTAAGACCGTCCCCACTCCCTGCCTCCAAGGAACCCCGGGGTTCCGCCCGCCCGGCTGCACCCCCCCCTCTTTCCCGGCGTCTCCGCCCCCTGCCCCGCCCCCGGGCCGGCTCTCCGAGGAGGGGGAGCTGCTGTCGCCGCCGCCGCCTCAGCTCCCCACTGCCGCTGCCGCCGCCGCCGCCGCCGCCGCCGCCGCTCTGCTTGGTCCAGCCGCCCAGCCCGGTGCTCTGACTTCGCCGGACCAGGGCGCTCTGCGGAGACACCCTTCCTCCTTCCTGGGGTCCGGGGCGCCTAGCCCGGCGTGGGGGGAAGCTCCGCTGGCGAGGGACAGGGAGGGAGGAGCCTGGAACCGGAGCCAGCGCCACCCGTCGCCGGATCAACAAGATAGGACAGGTTGAGGGGCGTCGGGGAAGGAAGAGGGGTGCTGTAGGCTGTCCCGGGGAAGACGAGAAGCCCTGTCGCAGAAAGCCCTGATGCACTCTGACTTGTAGGGGGCCTGTTCACAGTTGGGAACCGGTGATAACGTGGGTGCACTCCTCTTGGGGGGGCTGATTGGATTGGAGGGCGTGGGATCTAAACAGCACCAGCTGTCCCCGAGGAAATTAAGGGGCAACCAAGGGGAAAAAAAAAAAACAAAAACAAAAAAACGGATGCTCCTTATCTCGAGGTGACAGAAGCCCTCCAAACAAGCCCTAAGAAGGGCGGATTTGGAGGTGACTTCAAAAGGGGTGGAGGGTGACAAGGTAAGGAAAGGGGCACAGCAGCTGGAACCATGTACCACTAGAAATGGAGGTGACTTGGTGAAAAAAAGGTATGGCCCAGAGACAGGGTCTGGGAACCCCTAATCGCTGAATGGGGACAGCCTGGGTTTTCCCAGACAGTTTTGGGGGACTTCATTGAAAAAAGTGGGGGATCCTTTCCACTTAGAGGGTGGCAAAGACACCAAGGTTGAGTTCCTCCCTGACATTGGCAGTGCCCCAGCAGGGATGGGGTTGAGCTAATATATCAACGCTAATGACCCGCACCCTTTAGGTTACAAGAGTGGATTTGGGAGGAGTGCGGGTCCCCAAAATAGGGTGGAAAGGTGCCTGGGACTATTGGAACCACATCTTGCAAATTTTGAGGGTCTTGACTTTGGCCTAAGGGAAGTGGGGACAGGGACAGTGAAGAACAGGGTAGTTTCCAGTAGGGGACAAAAGTCGAGGGTGGGGTCAACAGATACACAGGGCGCTGGGGCCAGTCGAGCTAGCACGGGGCCCCAGGGTGGGAGCTGGCAGCTGGGGGTTGGGGGGCCTGGGGCTTATCCTCAGGTCCCGTGGGTGAGGCGGTGAGTTGGGACCCCAGCGTCGAGAGGATGCCCTGGTGAGCGGGCTTCTCTTGAGGAGCCCAGCGCGCTCCGGGCCCCTGCCAGTTTGGGGGTGTCTCCTCCCGGGGCGCCATGGCGGCTCTGGCCAGTAGCCTGATCCGGCAGAAGCGGGAGGTCCGCGAGCCCGGGGGCAGCCGGCCCGTGTCGGCACAGCGGCGCGTGTGTCCCCGCGGCACCAAGTCCCTTTGCCAGAAGCAGCTCCTCATCCTGCTGTCCAAGGTGCGACTGTGCGGGGGGGCGGCCCGCGCGGCCGGCCCGCGGCCCTGGTGAGTGGCTGGAGCGGGGTCTCCCGGCCTGGGGTCTCTCCGCCTGGGAGGTTGAGGCCAGAGACTCCGAAGGATGGGGCCCGACTGAGGGGGGTTCCCCGAAAGTGGAAGGGGGTGGGCCAGGACCACAGAGTCTCTGCCAGACGATGCCTCAGTTTCCCTTCTCTTTTGCCCATAACCCGGAGTCTCCTTGCTGTCGAGGGCAAGGGGAAGGCTTGGGGGGCTAGGTCTGGCGCTCCCAAGCCTCGCGGCTCCGGCTCGCCGCCCCCCCCCCCCCCCAACGCAGGAGTCCCCACCCCCACCGTCCGCCGCCTACGTGCCGGCTCTCGCGATTCTTTCAATGCCAGGCGGAGGGGCCTGGGGGTTCCGGACGCCTGGGTCACCCCGAGGGTTTCTGCAGCTCTGGCAGCCCCGCCCCCGCCCCGGTTCTCCCGCTCCTCCACGCCTTGGCTCTGTTCCTGCTGGCCGAGCCTCCCTGGCTCGGCGCCAATCTCCCCAGCTCTCCCCCGGGTGTCCTTGCAGCTACCTCGCCGGCCCGCCCCTCTGTGCGCCCTCCTCGGTGACCTGCGCCTCGAGAGGGGCGCCGGCCACCCCCCATTACCCCCTACGCGGCTCCGAAAGCGGCTCCCCCATGCTCGGGGGGACCCTCTGCCGCGAGGTACTCAGAACCTGTACGGGGCGAGAGACCCGCGCGGAGACTGGGGGGTCGTACCACCTCCGAGGGGGTACGGGGAAGTCGGCCGAGAGCAAGCGACCGGGCGGGAGAGTGGCGAGGGTTGGCGCGTGGTCCCCGTCCAGGCACGACTGGCAGGAGTCCCTCTGGGCCCGCTCCCGCCTGCTCCCAGCTCCCCTAGGGGCAGCCCCCTCGTGCCCTCCTCCCCCCGCCTCCGGCCCTCCGTAGTGGTACGGTCCGCAGCCCACCCTCTGAGTGGGACCCGGCCCCCACGTGACTCCGCCCGGCTGGCCAGCTCCCCGGCCCCCTTCCCCCATTTCCTAGGGTTTGGTACCGAATGTCCCCCACCTCAGGCGGGTTACCTGGCTGCAGGGGAGAGGCTGGGCCTCAGGGAGGGCCGGGCCCCCGCGAGCCCGCGGACTGACAGACAGACAGACAGACAGATGGGTCAGTGTCAGACAGGCCGGCGCTGGGCCAAGGCAAGGCCCGCGCCAAGCGGCGGCAGCCGCAGCAGCAGGTGCTGAGTCAGCGTCGGGCCCAGTCCCACCCCCACTCCTGAGGGGGCGCCCCGACCCTGTGGTCACCTCGCCACCGCCCCACAGTCACAAACACTGGCCCTTCTGCAGTCCTGCCTGCCTCCCTCCGTCCTCTGCCTTCTGATGGCTCCCCCCTTCCTCTTCCCTCATCTCCCCTCCCCCACTTCTGGTGGAGCTGTAGAGTAGGAATTAAGCCATTTAAATAAATTTCAATAAATTAAGCCAGAAAGCTGGGGGTTAGAGGAAGCAGAAGGGATCCAAACCGGGTCTTCCTCCGGAGTCAGAGAGAGGTGGGAGAGAGCCTGCTTGGAGGATCAGGAGCCCGCGGACTGACAGACAGACAGACAGACAGATGGGTCAGTGTCAGACAGGCCGGCGCTGGGCCAAGGCAAGGCCCGCGCCAAGCGGCGGCAGCCGCAGCAGCAGGTGCTGAGTCAGCGTCGGGCCCAGTCCCACCCCCACTCCTGAGGGGGCGCCCCGACCCTGTGGTCACCTCGCCACCGCCCCACAGTCACAAACACTGGCCCTTCTGCAGTCCTGCCTGCCTCCCTCCGTCCTCTGCCTTCTGATGGCTCCCCCCTTCCTCTTCCCTCATCTCCCCTCCCCCACTTCTGGTGGAGCTGTAGAGTAGGAATTAAGCCATTTAAATAAATTTCAATAAATTAAGCCAGAAAGCTGGGGGTTAGAGGAAGCAGAAGGGATCCAAACCGGGTCTTCCTCCGGAGTCAGAGAGAGGTGGGAGAGAGCCTGCTTGGAGGATCAG